CATCGCCACCATCACAACTAACATCACCACCATCACTATTAACATCACCACCACATTCACAACTAACATCACCAACATCACTATTAGTATCACCACATTCACGACTAACAACATCACCATTAGCATCGCCTCCATCACAACTAATAACATCACCAACATCACTATTAGCATCGCCACCATCACTATTAACATCACCACCATCACACCTAACAACATCACCATCACAACTAACAACATCACCACCATCACTAACATCACCACCATCACTATTAGCATCGCCACCATCACTATTAACATCACCACCATTACAACTAACAACATCACCACCATCACAACTAACAACATCGCCACCATCACTATTATCAAGATCGCCACCATCACAACTAACAACATCACCACCATCACACCTAACAACATCACCATCACAACTAACAACATCACCACCATCACTAACATCATCACCATCACTATTAGCATCGCCACCATCACTATTAACATCACCACCATCACAACTAACAACATCACCACCATCACAACTAACAACATCGCCACCATCACTATTAGCATCGCCACCATCACAACTAACATCGCCACCATCACAACTAACAGCATCACCACCATCACTATTAACATCACCACCATCACAACTAACAACATCACCACCATCACTAACATCACCACCATCACAACTAACAACATCACCACCATCACTAACATCACCACCATCACAACTAACAACATCACCATCACAACTAACAACATCACCACCATCACAACTAACATCGCCACCATCACAACTAACAACATCACCACCATCACAACTAACATCACCACCATCACAACTAACAACATCACCACCATCACTACTAACATCACCACCACCATCACAACTAACAACATCACCACCATCACGACTAACAACATCACCACCATCACTATTAACACCACCATCACAACTAACAACATCACCACCATCACTACTAACATCGTCACCACCATCACTATTAACATCACCACCATCACTACTAACATCACCACCACCATCATCACAACTAACAACATCACCACCATCACTACTAACATCGTCACCACCATCACTATTAACATCACCACCATCACTACTAACATCACCACCACCATCACAACTAACAACATCACCACCATCACGAATAACAACATCACCACCATCACTATTAACATCACCATCACAACTAACAACATCACCACCATCACTACTAACATCGTCACCACCACCGTCATCACCCACCATTGCTTGACCTACATGCTGGATGATCACCAGCATGTTCATGACCACGACCGATCAACATATCCATGAACATCGCCTTAATGATCATGAACATGACCATCATCACCACCACTATCATCACCACCATCACCATCGTGGTGTTATCAGCCACATGTTTTACTCACAAGATGCGACGTCTCCTCCTTCCCTCTGTGCGTGGTGCGTGGTGGAGGCTTCGTCTCTTCTTCGTCTTCCCGTCAACTTCTTCCATAGACAGTGAAGAGATGACAACACACACACAGTCAAACACATACTAATACACACACAAACATACTAACACACACACAGTCAAACACATACTAATACACACACAAACATACTAATACACAAACATACTAACACACACACAGTCAAACACATACTAATACACACACAAACATACTAACACACACACAAACACATACTGATACATACACATACTGAGTTAGATGTAGTCGGAAACTACACAGATACACTCGTACATACGGTGTTACAAGTACAAGCATACTGCACGCGTTCACACGTGTACACACGAAGCACACGTGTTTAAAGTATAACACTCACACATACTCACACATATACACACACATATACACATACTCACACATATACACACATACACACACATACTCATACACATACCGATACGTACACTACGCAAGCAGACACTGAACTACGTGTTACTAAATAGAATAAGGAGACCAGGGCTAGTGAAGTACTGTACAACACACTCACTCTGGAGCACACGCACGTGTTACACGTAGACACAGACACACTTACAGAGTACAACACGTGTTACACGTACACACACACAGACACACTTACAGAGTACAACACGTGTTACACGTACACACAGACACACACAGAGTACACGTGTTACACGTACACACAGACACACTTACAGAGTACACGTGTTACACGTACACACAGACACTTACAGAGTACACGTGTTACACATACACTTACAGAGTACACGTGTTACACGTACACACACACAGACACACTTACAGAGTACACGTGTTACACGTACACACAGACACTTACAGAGTACACGTGTTACACATACACTTACAGAGTACACGTGTTACACGTACACACTTACAGAGTACACGTGGTACACGTACACACACACAGACACACTTACAGAGTACACGTGTTACACGTACACACTTACAGAGTACACGTGTTACACGTAGACACAGACACACACCGAGTACAACACGTGTTACACGTACACACAGACACACTTACAGAGTACACGTGTTACACGTACACACAGACACACACTTACAGAGTGCACGTGTTACACGTACACACAGACACACTTACAGAGTACACGTGTTACACGTACACACAGACACACACTTACAGAGTGCACGTGTTACACGTACACACAGACACACTTACAGAGTACACGTGTTACACGTACACACAGACACACACTTACAGAGTGCACGTGTTACACGTACACACAGACACACTTACAGAGTACACGTGTTACACGTACACACACACAGACACACTTACAGAGTGCACGTGTTACACGTACACACAGACACACTTACAGAGTACACGTGTTACACGTACACACAGACACTTACAGAGTACACGTGTTACACGTACACACACACAGACACACACACAGAGTACACGTGTTACACGTACACACAGACACACTTACAGAGTACACGTGTTACACGTACACACAGACACTTACAGAGTACACGTGTTACACATACACTTACAGAGTACACGTGTTACACGTACACACAGACACTTACAGAGTACACGTGTTACACATACACTTACAGAGTACACGTGTTACAGAGCAGTGGGTAGATGCACCTATCCCCACGTACTACCGACTACAAAGACCCCCCAGAATAACTTCATATATAACGAGGCAAGTGCACTGCACCACATACTCACACACACACGCACGGTCAATCATCATCAGCACACACATAGGGCGATCACAGAGAGAAAGAGTGAGAGCTGTACACGTGTGTGATGATGTAAAAGGTACGGCAACGTACATGAACATCATGCTCCATGCAGCTCGCCGCGCAGAGGGTAAAGTCTTGCAGCAGATGTTTGACATCCCGGAAGAGAAGAGATGGGGAGATGGAGGAGGATGATGATGATGATGATTCAGAGAGGAGTGGCAGAGATGATGGTGGTGATGGTGGTGATGATGGTGGTGATGTCTTGTGGGGAGGCAGGGGACAGGGAGTTGAGGAAGAGAAAGAGATGGGGAGAGAGTCACGGGGCAGTGAGAGATGGGGAGAGGGAGGAGGATGATTCAGAGAGGAGGAGTGGCAGAGGTTATGCTGGTGATGATGGTGGTGATGGCTTGTGGGGAGGCAGGGGACAGGGAGTTGAGGAAGAGAGAGAGATGGGGAGAGGGATGATGATGATGATGATTCAGAGTGGCAGGGATCGACAGAGATGATGGTGGTGATGATGATGGCTTGTGGGGAGGCAGGGGACAGGGAGTTCAAGAAGAGAGAGAGAGATGGGGAGAGGGATGATGATGATGATGATTCAGAGTGGCAGGGATCGACAGAGATGATGGTGGTGATGATGATGGCTTGTGGGGAGGCAGGGGACAGGGAGTTGAAGAAGAGAGAGAGAGATGGGGAGAGGGATGATGATGATGATGATGATTCAGAGTGGCAGGGATCGACAGAGATGATGGTGGTGATGATGATGGTGGTGATGGCTTGTGGGGAGGCAGGGGACAGGGAGTTGAAGAAGAGAGAGAGAGATGGGGAGAGGGATGATGATGATGATGATTCGGAGTGGCAGGGATCGACAGAGATGATGGTGGTGATGATGATGGCTTGTGGGGAGGCAGGGGACAGGGAGTTGAAGAAGAGAGAGAGAGATGGGGAGAGGGATGATGATGATGATGATTCAGAGTGGCAGGGATCGACAGAGATGATGGTGGTGATGATGATGGCTTGTGGGGAGGCAGGGGACAGGGAGTTGAAGAAGAGAGAGAGAGATGGGGAGAGGGATGATGATGATGATGATTCAGAGTGGCAGGGATCGACAGAGATGATGGTGGTGATGATGATGGTGGTGATGGCTTGTGGGGAGGCAGGGGACAGGGAGTTGAAGAAGAGAGAGAGAGATGGGGAGAGGGATGATGATGATGATGATTCGGAGTGGCAGGGATCGACAGAGATGATGGTGGTGATGATGATGGCTTGTGGGGAGGCAGGGGACAGGGAGTTGAAGAAGAGAGAGAGAGATGGGGAGAGGGATGATGATGATGATGATTCAGAGTGGCAGGGATCGACAGAGATGATGGTGGTGATGATGATGGCTTGTGGGGAGGCAGGGGACAGGGAGTTGAAGAAGAGAGAGAGAGATGGGGAGAGGGATGATGATGATGATGATGATTCAGAGTGGCAGGGATCGACAGAGATGATGGTGGTGATGATGATGGTGGTGATGGCTTGTGGGGAGGCAGGGGACAGGGAGTTGAAGAAGAGAGAGAGAGATGAGGAGAGGGAGGATGATGATGATTCGGAGTGGCAGGGATCGACAGAGATGATGGTGGTGATGATGATGGTGATGATGGCTTGTGGAGAGGCAGGGGACAGGGAGTTGAGGAAGAGAGAGAGAGATGAGGAGAGGGAGGATGATGATGATGATGATTCAGAGTGGCAGGGATCGACAGAGATGATGGTGATGGTGATGATGGCTTGTGGGGAGGCAGGGGACAGGGAGTTGAGGACGAGAGATGTGGAGAGGGATGATGATGATGATTCGGAGTGGCAGGGATCGACAGAGATGATGATGATGGTGATGATGGCTTGTGGGGAGGCAGGGGACAGGGAGTTGAGGACGAGAGATGTGGAGAGGGATGATGATGATGATTCGGAGTGGCAGGGATCGACAGAGATGATGGTGGCGAGGCAGGAGGCAGGGGACAGGGAGTTGAGGAAGAGAGAGGTCGTGCGAGAGAGGGTGGGGAGGAGGAGGAGGGGAGAGTGGCTGTGAGGGTGTGTAGGGGAGGGGTAGGTGACACACGAGTTGGTGAGAGAGATGGAGAGACGGTGGTGGGGGCGGAGAGAGGGAGGAGTGTGGTGGTGGTGGTGATGGTGATGATGGTGGTTGTTGGGAGGGAGGGAGGGACATGCGAGAGAGGGAGGCAGGCAGGAGGATGACGATCGCCTTCAGAGAGAGAGAGAGAGAGGCGGGAGATGAGGAAGAGAAGAGTGGAGAGAGGGGGGAGGAGGAAGCGAGAAGAGTTGGTGCAGGGGAGCTGGGGAGCTGGGAAGGGGGTGCAGGGGAGCTGGGGAGGGGGTGCAGGGGAGCTGGGGAGGGGAGGTGCAGGGGAGCTGGGGAGGGGTGCAGGGGAGCTGGGGAGGGGAGGTGCAGGGGAGCTGGGGGGGGTGCAGGGGAGCTGGGGGGTGCGGGGGAGCTGGGGGGGGCAGGGGAGCTGGGTAGGGGGTGCAGGGGAGCTGGGGGGGGGTGCAGGGGAGCTGGGGGGGGTGCAGGGGAGCTGGGGAGGGGAGGTGCAGGGGAGCTGGGGGAGGGGTGCAGGGGAGCTGGGGGAGGGGTGCAGGGGAGCTGGGGGGGAGGTGCAGGGGAGCTGGGGGGGGGGTGCAGGGGAGCTGGGGGAGGGGTGCAGGGGAGCTGGGGGAGGGGTGCAGGGGAGCTGGGGGAGGGGTGCAGGGGAGCTGGGGAGGAGGTGCAGGGGAGCTGGGGGGGGGCTGGGGGGTGCAGGGGAGCTGGGGGGGGGTGCAGGGGAGCTGGGGGGAGGGGAGCTGGGGGGGTGCAGGGGAGCTGGGGAGGGGTGCAGGGGAGCTGGGGGAGGGGTGCAGGGGAGCTGGGGGGGGGGGTGCAGGGTAGCTGGGGGGGGAGAGCTGGGGGGTGCAGGGGAGCTGGGGAGGGCAGAGAGCGGGCGAAGTGGAAGGTGGATAGAGGCCGTGCGGAGGGAGGGAGGAGGAAGGGCGGGGGGAGGGAAGAAGGACGCAGTAGGATGGGGGAGGGAGGAGGATGGAGGAGGGCGGGGGGAGCGGGAAGGAGCGGCGTGGGGGGGGGATGGTGGGGGGAGGGAGAGTGGCAGGTCTGTCGTGACAGGGTGGGGAGGGAGGACGGTAAGGACACGAAATGGAGGAGAGGGGGGATGGGGTGGGGGGGTGAGCATGGAGTGGAAGGGGAGGATGACGGGGGGGGGGGGGTGACAGGGGGGGGTGACGAGGGGGTGATGGGGGGGGTGACGAGGGGGAGATGACGGTGAGGGTGACAGGGGGGGGGGGGTGACGAGGGGGAGATGACGGTGGGGGGTGACAGGGAGGGGGGGTGACGGGGGGAGGATGACGGGGGGGGTGACGGGGGGGGTGACGAGGGGGAGATGACGGTGGGGGTGACAGGTGGGGGGGGTACAGGGGGGGTGACGAGGGGGAGTGATGGGGGGGAGATGACGGTGGGGGCGACAGGGGGGGGGTGACAGGGGGGGGGGGTGGGTGACAGGGGGGGGGTGACAGGGGGGGGGTGACAGGGGGAGATGACGGTGGGGGTGACAGGGGGGGGTGACAGGGGGGGGGTGACGAGGGGGGGGGGGACAGGGGGGGGGTGACGGTGGGGGTGACAGGGGGGGGTGACGAGGGGGGGGGGGGACAGGGGGGGGGTGACAGGGGGAGATGACGGTGGGGGTGACAGGGGGGGGTGACGAGGGGGGGGGGGACAGGGGGGGATGACGAGGGGGGGTGATGGGAGGCAGGTAAATGCAGGATATAGTTTTGCACTCTCGACAGAGAAGATGACCTTTACCTGTAACCAGGTAAGAGACAATTTATCCAAGAAAGCCACTTCTTCAAATGAAGATCTGTAGTTACTGTAGCAGGAGGACGAGGAGGGAGGGGGGGGAGGTGCCGAGGGAGATGGAGATGGAAGATGAAGAAGCGTACGGAGAGGTACAGGGGAGGGAGGCATTTGTGGGAAGGGAGAGGTGAAGGGTTTGTCTGGCTGGGATGGAGACAATAGATGAGTAATGAGAGCGGGCAGGTAGAGGGAGCTCGAGGGCGGGACAGGAGTGGAATTGAAGGAGGCTCAGAGAACTACGTGGACAAGGATGGCGAGACAACAAAGATGATGATGATGGGGGTGTGTTGGGTGTGGAGTTTGCGAGAGGTAGGTTATTGAGAAGAGCGAAGAGTAGGAGGAGATGGAGCAGAGATCATGCGAGATGGTTGTAAGGATAGGAGAGATCTTTAAAATTGCAGCACATCAAAACATCTTCAATTCACCATCACACCCGTGGCATATATGACCCACTACATAACCACGTTTCAAATTGACGATGATGACGACGATTTTGTGATCGTGCACCGAAATGGTGACTTGGTGATGATATTGATTAAGCCAAAATAGTCGCCCAAATGATGACAATTAACGCTGATCGAACACAGATATTTATTGGTGGCTACGTGGTGATGATGATGGTGATGGTTCAAAAACGTAGTGATGCTTTGTGATTTCGCACGGGAAATGGTAGCTAAGTGATGATGATTGATTGTGACACACAGTATGGCTAAGCCATATGCTGCTGATCGTAATGACCTTGAAGCAGAGAATAGTGACTAAGCGGATGGTGGTGGTGGTGGTGTTGGTGGTGGTGATGTTGGTGGTGGTGATGTTGGTGGTGGTGATGGTGGTGGTGATGTTGGTGGTGGTGATGTTGGTAGTGGTGATGTTGGTGGTGGTGATGGTGGTGGTGGTGATGTTGGTGGTGGTGATGGTGGTGGTGATGGTGGTGGTGATGTTGGTGGTGATGGTGGTGGTGATGGTGGTGATGTTGGTGGTGATGGTGGTGGTGGTGATGTTGGTGGTGGTGATGTTGGTGGTGATGTTGGTGGTGGTGGTGATGTTGGTGGTGGTGGTGGTGGTGATGTGGTGGTGGTGATGGTGATGGTGGTGGTGATGTTGGTGGTGGTGATGTTGGTGGTGATGTTGGTGGTGGTGGTGGTGATGTTGGTGGTGGTGGTGATGGTGGTGGTGATGTTGGTGGTGGTGATGTTGGTGGTGGTGGTGGTGATGGGGAATTGGAAATTGGTTGTCACATGCAAACTGATGTACACTTACAACAACAACAACCGCCATTCGCCACGAAGTGGCGGTGACGTCACCACGACGCTTGTGCCAGGCCATGTGCACTTTGAGGCTACCACGTGAAGTGTCGAACGCCCGCTGGCAGGAGGTCACGGGGCAGACCCAGGTGCCATATTTGCACGTACAGTCACATGTACACACACACACAGAGAGTACACACATACACAAGTTGAATCAGTAATACATGGGTTAACATACAACGCTCAAGATAACGTGCAAATATCCCTAATATCACCTGATACTTTATATTGCACGTATAAGTTGTGTGTTGGTGAACACCTATTAAGTACTGTACATACATCACGTACACACCACATGCATGCATCGTGTTGCACACACGTTAAGCACTGCACATGCAACAGGTTCACAAGTGTATATATACTGCATTGCATATGTGTCCACAGATGCATACACGTGAGAAATGTACACAATATTTGCATCGTACTGTACACACACGTGGTGAAATCTGCGTGTTGGTTATGGACATATAACTACACATACAAGTACAGTACACATTGAGAGAACACGTGCAGATACATCACACAGACATACACGGACACGTGTACATACATGTAGAAAAACACGTGTACATACATGTAGAAAAACACGTGTACATACGATATATTGACACACGGAATTGATGGCAACGTGTACAAAGACAATGGTCCCCCGTATAGCCTTTACATACTGGAGGGCAAGTGCTGTTGTCTCTCCCTAGTGGCGATGTTTGTTATACACACCGCACCAGATACTCATTTGAGGCTGAGTCGACCCATCACACACACACACCACTAGTCTAGAACTCTCTACGAGTATGAAAGCCCCCCCAAAAAAGTAAAATTCACGATTTCTGGCGCTCTCCATTCATAATAAAGGTTTTTTTGGTTAGATTGCGTTATTTATAAATGTGTCGTAACCCTCCACCACCTGTTTTAAAATATTCCATATTCTCATTATCTTCTTAATCATCTCCCCCATGCGTGTGTGTAAGTTTATTTTCCTGTTAGGGGGAGCGGTGGTGCAGCGGTTAGCGCTCACGGCCAACACCGGCAGTGACGATTATCTGAACCGATCTTGGGTCCTCCCCTAGGTCGACTCAGCCTCAAATGAGTACCTGGTGCGGTGTTCTTTTTTCTTCCATTGCCACTGGGGAGACAAAGGCGGACCGGGCGTTGTGGGCCGTACCGGCTAACAGCACTTGCCCCAATAGTCTGTTAAAGGCTATACGGGGAATCTTTGTATGTGTGTAAGTTTATTTTCCTATTCGTTCGTCCTTAAATCATTGGGTTTTTTAAAAACATTTCAAACTGCTCTTCCCAAAGCTGCTGCATCTTCTCTGCCAGTGATGCAGGGAACTCCCACGCAGACAAAGACTTCACAGACGTTCTAGGGCAAGCGCTTTGACAACAGCGATGATATTCTTGGTTCTTTCGGTAAAGTCACGTAGAAGGGAAATAATAAAATTATAAAAATATTAAACAATAAAAAATTCCCACGTTTCGACTGCAACACAAGCAATCATCATCAGGTGTGAAATCCACAGCAATAATTTTTTCTTCTAATTTTCTTGATGTGGATTTCGCACCTGATGATGATTGCTTGTGTTGCAGTCGAAACGTCGTCAGAATTTTTTATTGTTTTATGTATTTTTTTCAAATTTTCTTGCTGTGGATTTCACACCTGATGATGATTGCTTGTGTTGCAGTCGACACGTCGTGAGAATTTGTTATTGTTTAATATTTTTATTATTTTATTATTTCCCTTCTACGTGACTTTACTGAAAGAACTAAGAATAGGAATCCCTGCAGTCACAAACGCTTTAAATCAAAACAGCGATGATGTTGACTCCATCGCCGGGTTTACAGGAGGTCCTGGATTCGATCCCCCAAATCTTGACGCCCGCTGTATATTTGCCCTTTGG